CTGCGCTCGCAAAGTACTTGATTGTAAATATTTTCATTTAGAGGCAAAAATCTAAAAATGTACAGTCAGAGCGTTGTTCCTAATGCTTCTAGGTACACAATGAGCATAAATTTAGCTCGAAATGTCATCACACATTGGTTCCCAGTCCAGTTTAAAACGACACTTTGTGCCGCAGAGCCTATCTCTTCCAATGGATGGCGGCTGGGTGGCGGTTGTAGTGGTGGACAAGACAATTCTTGAGTGAAATGAAATCATTTGCTTTCAAAGAAGAATTTTGAAGAACTTGTAATAATTGACAAATGATCGTTAATTACAATGCATAATTTCAAGTTCATGGCAAATGAAAATATTTTAAAAAATGCTAGTGAACCCCAGTACCGCCGCGCGAGAAAGCAAGTACTCGACGCACGGTCTGCCCGCCACTTCTGAAAATGGTCCGCGGCCGGCCGGCCGCGACCCGACACGTTAAGCATTTAGACCAGGTCGGGTCAGGTCAGGTCAGGTCAACCAGTAGGCGTCGTGACGGGTATTCGTAGTATGTACGTGTCAACCGCCTCTGACAGCTTCGTAACATGTTACGAAGTCACCAAAACTACTTCGTAAATGTTCAAATGGTTGCTAAATTTGAATTCAGCTAAAAAATCTAGCCTAGAAACATGTAAAACTCGAAAAAGTGAACCGAGGTCACCAAAGGTCAATGACCTGACCTGACCTTCAGGTGACCTTGAAACCCACCCTAATGCATGGGGGCAACATCAAATCACATGTTTGAACGTTTGAAACCACGAAAAGCTTGCAAACGCGCGGCTAATGCGAGCCGACATACGCCGAATCGCGATTCCGGCCAAACATGGTCTCGGAAAAGAGGTCACAGGTCATAGGTCATTTGGGTCAGGGTCATGAAGTTTTCAGGGTAGGTGTAAAATTAATCAATGCGAGGGTACTGAAAGTTTCGTCGCGATCGGCCGCTTTTTACGCGAGTTATTCGCGAAAAACCATGGGGGGGGGGTCCATCCGATCCCCCCCCCCTACACATGCGAGGGCTAGAACGCACGTGCGGCCGAGGGTTAAAACAGCATGTCGCATCAGCAAGGTCATGTGAATCTGGACATCAGGTTACTGAGCTAGTGTGTTATAACTTATAATGCGACAGCCGTAGTTTTTTTTTTTTTTTTTTGAAGTGATGCCGTTTACATTAAAAATGTAAAGGCCTGGATACACTATGCGTTTTCTGCGTGCGTTTTTTTTTTGCGAGTTTGCGTGATTTGCGTAATACCTAATACCTATCTAGAAAAACGTTATTACTAATATAACTTCTTTAATATTTATTTAAAAGTTCATAAAACTTTTATATTAACCCGCGCCGGGCCGGTGCTCTGAGATTCCGCGCCGGGCCGGGGGGTGTCTGAACACCCCCACCCCCTTCTAACTCGGCTCCTGGGCCACGTAGCTACACGCGGTAAGCGGCAATCGAAAAACATCCAAAATAAGGACGCAAACACTTGGGTCATTTTTGGGTCAGGTCAAAGGTCAGGTCACCAGAGGTCACCAGAGGTAAAATGTTGAATATTTCAACATTTTGGAAACTGCCGACGGCTATCTCGGGAACCGATAGAGCTACAGCGCCGCTGAAAAGCGCATTCGATAGCCCTTTTACAGACCTTTCTGAATAATGCTCTCAGATTTGACCTCAGGTCAACAATTTAGCCTCCAGAGGGCAAAAACTCCAAAAATAGCCGTTTTTACGAAAAGTGTTTTTTTCGGCAATAACTTTTGACTCAAAAGAGCCATGACATTACTTTTGCCAGCATCGTGTTCCTCTCGTAGAGACGCGTCGAATGAACTGAACTATACTTTGACCTTGAAAGGTCAAATTGAAAATTTGACCTCAGTTCAAGGTCATGACCTGACCGGAAAAGGTCATGTTGCATATCAGTCGATCTGCAACGTCGAGCCAAACACATCTAAGGCGTTTTCAGTGCTATAGCACGCCTCTATCAGAAGTTATTACCGAAAAACTGTTAGATTCTGTTCGTGACCTGAGATGACCTCGGGGACATAACGAGGGGTCACAGTTGCCATTTTCCGGTTCAGTGTGTCAATCTTACCTACATCTCGATGTTTGAGAGTGTCTAGAATAGCGTTCGTGCAAAACAGACGCTTTTCAATTTTCTCCCATTGACTTATAATGGAGAGGCCGCAAAATTGACCTGACCTTAGGTCACCGATATCAAAATCCGAGATAAACATTTTATAGATAGTGTTGCTCTAATCAATCGCTGAAAGTTTCATGGCAATCGATCAATCGGTGTAGCTATGATGAGCATTCTTATTGTTTCTGAGGTGAGGTCACTTGGTGTGACCTGGTGACCTGACCTAAAGCGACCTGGGTCTGAAATTTTCACAACATGTGCAGAAAAGATGCACAAACAGCTGTTCCAAAAATGGCGGCGCTCCGCGCCGCCGTTTTTGAGAAATCTGCGACAAACCGCAGGGGGTGTTCAAACACCCCCCGGCCCGGCGCGGGTTAATTTAACCCTCGCCCGCACATTGGGGGGTGGTTGCCACCCCCCCCAGGTAGTCTTTCTGCTCTGCACTCAACATTTTTAGAGCTAGAAGGCTGATTTTTCGTATAGCTGCTCCTCTATCCTTTCTTGATGTCCACTGAAAACATAGGCGCGGGAACTACTTTCAGACTGGGGGGGCACACCATAATGGAGATCAACCTAGGGTACCCCCAAATCTAGTTTTCTCACCGGTTTTAGGCCACTTATTTTTCAACCCTTGGCTTTTTCAACAAAAAAAGAAAACACATTTGCAAAAAAGTGCGGTATTTCGTCCCAAAGTTGTGGGGGCACCGCCCCCACGGCCCTAGAGTTGGGGGGGCAAGCTGCCCCCACTGCCCCCCCGGCTCCCGCGCCTATGACTGAAAATTTCAAGCTTCTGTGGTTTTTGGTTTCGGAGATATGACCTTGTTTTTCAGGTCATGTCATGACCCAAATGGCCAATTCTCAACATCTTGCGTTGGCTATGGGCCTTGTGAGCTTTTAACACCTTGATTTCGGCCTTTTATGCCAATCCTACCTCCCACCTATCATGAAACATGTTGTTCGACGATGTACAGAGGTCAAGGTCAGGGTCAAGGTCAACCTAGGTCATCTAAGATAATTGCGTTTTAGGCAAGCTGAATTTACTTTTTTTGAAATTTTTTGACTACATTTTTGGTAAAAGCTTCTCAGATCATGATTTCATGTAATATGGACACATAAACAATCGGTGCACACATCAGTATACACACAGACACACACAGACATACGAACACATATTATTGACCTTGACCTAACTTGACCTGAGATGACCTCAGCAGCAAAAACCTGGTCGAGTAGTGTGACAAAGAGGTTCTAGCTGGCTCGGCACCAGAAAACGGCATCGTCATCGGTATATGACAAGCAGCGCGCTTGATATCCAACGGTGACCTAAAACAGCAACATTTTTTAGTTTGACCTGACCTGGAAGGTCAATGACTGACCTGAGAAGGTAAAACTGGGTATCATTGGATTCGTCTCTTCCCAAAGAATCTTTTTGGTCCTTACCGCTAAGCTCTATCTCCAACAGGAACGAAACGGCGCGGGGGGGTGGCAACCATCCCCCCCCCATGTGCGTTCTAGGATGGGAAAATGGCATGTGCGGGCGAGGGTTAAACTTTATATGAAACTAGACGGCATGTTTTGCGCTATAACTGCACGTTTTGATTAAATTGGTTTTACGGATGCATTATGCTGGCTTAAAAATAGTTTATTTGTATTATTTGGGTCCCTACCCATACCCTACCCTGCCCATACCCCACCCTGCCCATACCCTACCCTGCCCATACCCTACTCTGCCCATACACTGCTCATACCCTCCACATACTCTACCCTACCCTACTCATACCCTACTCATACTCGATTGAAGCTGTGTACCAAATTTGAGCGCAATTGGCCCAGCCGTTCCTTAGATATAGGACCGACCCCTCACGTGCACACGTTCAGTCGGTCCACCGCACCTGTATCACATGACCATGCATCGCCTGGTGAGTGCCCTGCCCACCCACAGTTCAACTTTAAGCACAATCGGCCCAGTAGTGGCTGAGTTGTTGCAAGAATAAATTTGCTTTATTTACTGGCGAATCCCCTTGGCGAGCGGTGTCCTGCGCCGGTGTTCGTTGTCAAAGTTCAATGACCTGCCGGCTCTGCTGCTTTTCGTTCAGTTTTGGCAGCGAAGAAAATGAGCCTAGAGCACGTGCTCTCCGCTCGGCGCCAGCCGCGGCCCGTCATGCGGGAGAGATTCACGCGCTGACGGCGCACCCCTGGCCCGATCACGCCCAAATTTTAATACAAAGGCCGCCCACGCCCACAGATTCGGCATGCCAAATTTCACGCCGCTACGCGGCGCCTTTCAGGCGCAATAAGACACATAAGACATGACACACGGATGGATGGATGGAGAACGCACGGACGACTTATAAATCATAATATAGAAACATATAACAAAAACGTAATGTCGTTTCTTTCTAGATCAATATTACGCAAATCACGCAAACTCGCAAAAAAAAAACGCACGCAGAAAACGCATAGTGTAGCCAGGCCTTTATAGGTAAGACGCATTTGGCCAATAGCCATCGCGAAGAATGAATATCATTTGGGAAAGCAACCATTTAGGGACTTTGATGAAACCATTTTACTTTAGGTCTGGTACCTCACGACTGCCTTGTGTAATCTCATTTCACATTTGCAGGTAAGTGTTGGGGGTGCGCGATGTTTTCCTAAGATAATTAATGCCCCTGTCATCCATGCAATAGTCGATTTATGAAGAGATTTTCAAAAACATGTTTTGACCGTCCCGGTGACACAAAACAACTGCACCGAGTCACAGCCAAGTGTTCATGTTTGTCACAGTGTTTTCGATCGGTGACAGACCACTTCATTAGCACACCTCTAACCCACCTATGTAAGACCATTACAGTCGTCAGACCACACCCAGCAGTTCGCCGACATGCGTCCCTCTCAGCAACTGGTCTGCCTTCTGGCAGTCGCACTGACTGCCGTAGCGGCGGCAACGATTACTTCAAAAGGTATGTTGCGCGCAACGAATAACGGTTTCTTCTATAAAGATAAGTTAGGTGCAACGATTACTTCCAAACGTAACTCAGGTGCAACGATTACTTTCGAAGGCTGTGTGCCGGTCGGAAGGAATACTTCTAAAGGTATAGGTACGGGGTGTAGCCAATAGGGGAAGCCGGGGGAAGCCCGGGCGCGGGGGAAGCCCGGCCACCCCGTTTCCGGCTAAATTATTCACAATAAAATGCTCAACTGTTTGTCCTTTCAGCGTGGCAGCTAAGGTAACGCCAGCAAAAAAGTTAAGGCTGACAAAAATTGCATATTGTTAAAGTTATAGCGCAAAAATGATATTTTAAGGGTTTTTAGCTAAAAAGTGAGATATCTTGCACTGTTAATATTATACCATACAGTATGTACTAATATTTATACGAATGTTATGTAAGGACCGTTTAAGTGTTTGTAGTGAGGGGTGACGAGGCAGGCTGGCTTAAGTATGACATTTTTTCGAATATCGCTGTTCTAAAATAAAAATTAGCACATTGGGGTAACCCCGGGCGAGTGGCCAAGCTTACCCCCAACCGAGAGCAATGCCACTAAACCACTGTTTTCCATGAGATAATAGGTACTGAGCAGGTTTGGTTTACACCTAGATCAAAGATAAATTTAGAAAATAAACATGTTATCATAGACCAAGCCAGTCATGTCACTTAAGGTCAACTAGGGTCAAACTACGTTTTTGCAGATAACGCGACAGACAATGAAGCTAGAGCTTCAAAAATGGTGTCGTTGTGTTCTTCTTCATCAGCCGAGTCGAATGATATGCAATATGATGCATTAAGGTAAAAAGAAAAATAAATTTTAAGGAATTTTGAAATACACATTTTTTGTCAATTTTGCATCACGATTTTCATCGACCTGTACTGTATATGTAGTAGACGCTAGCTAAAATACCAGTAGTGACATACACTCTAAGATGTCCAGAGCTAATCAGTACCTTAATATTTCACTTTCCGTTAATATTTGGAAAACACATAGTGGTTTCATCAACTCGTTGTAAAGCGCTGGGGAGGTGGCCGGCGTTACCCCTATGCCGGGCTTACCCCAGAAAAATCAACACTTTTTTAAAACTCGATTTTCTCAACCTTATACTTATTCCACGAAACCGAATTTTTGGGAAAACACGGCCAATGAACTTAGCTAGCTAGCAGGATATCAACATTTTATACAGCACGTATGGTATGTAATAAAAATGAAAGAGAGCTTACTATGCCGGGCTTCCCCCGGCTTCCCCTACTTCTAAAGGGATGCTAATTGATAAAAACAAAGTCTTTTTCGGTGAAAGGTGCTCATTTTGTTTTTGATTAGATTCTTTTTTGGACAATTCTGCATAGAAATAAACACATCTTGACATTGTCTTCTCTTTGAGGACAATCCATGTAAGAACTTACATACTTAGCTACCGTAAACGGTGGTGACTTTGCCTTGCGGGATGACTTTGCCATGCTTCTCGAAAATGCTTTAGGGAGATCTCCAGTGATATTTTACGAAAAATGTAATAATTTTTTATGCACAAATGAAAGATAATTGATGGGCCTTCCAATATAACCAACACTGAGAGATAAGTTACCACTAAATACCTAACTGGGCTCCATTTTATTGGAGTCATTGAAATGGTCAAATTTGAAGAGGTACAAACTTTTCATTATTATCTATTATCTACCATGTTTTATCTAACCATGTTTTAGACCAACTGCGATGCTGAAACGTGGTATGGTTGATCATGACAAGGTTGTCAAATTAGCATATCCAGCGAAATTGCCATTTGTCACTTCATTTAGCTAAAAATTTTGGTGGCGATTTTTCCAAGTGAATTGCAGGCCACATGGGGTGACTTTGCCACCATGTTATCAACGCAAAAATGAAATACTTATACGATGCAATTCAAAATAATTTTTTTAATGTAGCATCATTTTGATCTCCAAACTGGTTTTTAAAAAGTAAAAGTTTATGTGTTGAAAATTAACACAGGAATGCACAGTGGGAGTATAGAAAGGCAAAAATTGCCAAAATCAAGAAATGAATGAAGCTGGGCCCAACTTTTCAGCACAGCCAAGATCATATACATATTGTATATTGTATACATATTGTGTTGGTTATATTGTACAACTACTGAGTTTGCCAGTAAGACTGGCTGAAGAAATATGTACCATTTTATAGATCAAAACGCTAATAATAAAAGTGCCGGTGAGTTGCCGCAAGAACGTCCACTTTCTGTTTCTCTCAATGCCACTGGAAGAAAGCGGCAAGGTCCTAGAGTACCGATACAATAATATTGTTGCTTAGTTATTACGGAGCGAGCGAAGCGAGCGTAGTCTTTCCTTAGATTAACGGAAATTTCTAAGTATGAGCGGCCACCGGCCGTCCGGCCGTGCGGACGCTTTTGCGAGGCTTATATCTCAGCAACCACTTGACCGATTTACATGCGGTAAATTTTGTAGGGTAGCTTCATTCCTTCTACCAAGTATTGGACTATTCCCGATGCATGTGGGTGACCCCTTATGCACGTGCCACGTGCAAAACGAAGAGGTGTCAGTTTTGTAATTGTTGCAATATCTCGGTAACTACTTGGCCGATTGCGCTGAAGTTGGCATGTAGGTAGGCACCCACTAGGCCCTGCATATCCATGTGCCAGAGTTGGGGTGCTGCTGCACGTGCGCACGTGCAGGGGTCGTTTCCAGATCTCGAGAACGGCTCGACCGATTGCGCTCAAATTTGGTACACGGTTAGGGACCAGTTAGTAGGGTGCCGTGCACAAGTCAGTTGGGACCCATTTTGCACGTGCGCACGTGCAGGGTGCCGCTTCCAGATCTCGAGAACGGCTGGGCCGATTGTGCTCAAATTTGGCACATCGCTAGAGACCGGTTAGTAGGGTGCCGTGCACAAGTCAGTTGGAGGTACAGTCACCAGCACTTGCTACTAATCACCTCGTTTTTGCTCAGTAGTTTGAAGACCGATCAATTCTCAGTCGAGCAAGATACGTCAAACGATCGGTTTGGTCCTCCGATTTTCGAATATCTAACTTGTTTTTGTATGTTCGAAGCATTTTGGGATGAGGAGCCAAAAAACGTCTTTTCTGCCCTAAAGTTGCCCCAAGAAGTCGTAGAACCTAGTCCCGCCTCTGACCCACAGACCACTAGTGCCATCTCTTGTCAGCCGAACAAACCGCAGAAGTAAATAATGTCACGTGACCTTTGCACACGCTACAATTACTACGCAGTTGTAGTGGGGGAAGCGGGGCGGAGGCGTTGAGAGGGACGCGATCGGTCCGGTCGGCTGGGGTCAGGTCGCCGAAGTCGGAGGTCATCCGCCGGAGGGTGTTTGGGCGGTTGAGCCGTGTGGGCTGGGGCTTGCGGAGTGGGGAGCGCCTGGACCTGTCTGGAAACAAGTTCTACAACGCTGTGGCAGTCGAGAATATTGTGAGGAAAGAGAGGGAGAGAGAGAGAGTGGAAGAGAAAGAGGGAGATAGAGGGAGAGAGAGGGAGAGGGAAAGAGAGGGAGAGGGAGAGAGAGGGAGATGTAGAGAGAGGGAGAGAGAGAAAGAGAGAGAGGAGAGAGAGAGAGTGGAAGAGAAAGAGAGAGAGAGTGAGAGAGAGGGAGAGGGAGAGGGAGAGAGAGGGAGAGAGAGGAAGAGCGAGAGAAAGAGAGAGAGAGGAGAAAGAGAGTGGAAGAGAAAGAGGGAGATAGAGGGAGATGGAGAGAGAGGGAGAGAGAGGGGGGAGAGAGAGAGGGAGAGAGAGAGAAAGAGAGAGAGAGGAGAGAGAGAGTGGAAGAAAAAGAGGGAGAGAGAGGGAGAGGGAGAAGGAGAGAGAGGGAAAAGGAGAGAGATGGGAGAGAGGGAGAGAGAGAGAGAGAGAGAGAGAGAGAGAGAGAGAGAGAGAGAGAGAGAGAGAGAGAAGAAAGACTGGAGGGAAGGGATAAGGACGGGAGGAGAGAAAAGAGAGACAGAAAAGGAAAACCAGGAAGGGTAAAATGAGAGAGAGAGGGTAATGGGTAAATCAGTGAGAGGGAGCGAGAGAGAAAATATTTAGTTGTGTCAGCTTGTTTCGTATGTAAAATGTAAATTTGCTTTCCATCATTTCAGCTTCGGATTGGAAATTAAATCTTAGCGTCCTTATGATAAACCCACGCTGACGGGATGGGGACGTTTTTATGGTCGTCGTTGGGAGCTCGGCACCAATGGGGATGATGTTGAGGGATTCGCAAATATTTCATAAAAGAGATGATATTTTTTTGCATCACCTATTAAACATTTTTTTACGTTTGCTATGAAAATGTTAGGCCCAGTTCCTTCAAGATCAGGTCCACGACTCCACAGCTTACAACAAGAGCTAGCTAACATCACAATTCACCCGCGCCGTGTTGGTGGCATGAACTTTCCGTCGAGTGCTGAGGGGGGGGGGGGGCGTTTCACGCCCCTCCGTCTAACTCGGCTCCTGGGCCACGTAGCGACACGCGGTAAGCGGCAATCGAAAAAGCGTCAAAAATAAGAAGGAAAACACTCGGTCATTTTAAGGTCAGGGCAAAGGTCAGGTCACCAGAGCTCATCAAAGGTCACATTTTGTCGATTTCAACGATTTTAAACATCCGACGGCTAACTCTGGAACCAATAGAGCTACAGCGCCGTGTAAAAGCGCATTCGATAGTTCTTTTAACGCTCTTTCGTCAACATGCCATTAAATTTGACCTCAGATCAACGGTTTAGCCCCCAGAGGGCACCGCTCTGATTGACCTCAAATTTGACCTCAGATCAACGGTTTAGCCCCCGTGTTTTCACCGCTCTAGCACGTCTCTGTCAAATCAAAAGTTATAGTAAAGAAAAACTGCTGAAGACCTTTCATGACATGAGATGACCTCAGGGGCACACAAAGGGGGCACAGGTGCAATTTTCCGATTCAGAGTGTCATGTTTACATATGAACCGATGTTTGAGAGGGTGTAGAACGACATTCGGCCAA